GACTTCAGTAATGTCATCTTCGGGGGAATAGACGGACATCAGTAAAGAACATTGACCAATAAACACCAAACACAGTTATACTGAACAGACGAGTCTTACAATGCCGTGCACGGGCAGTCAACTGCCCAATCTGTTCCCACCTAATTATGCGAGGCAGATGTTCCGAGAAAAATTTTGCAACAAAAGAGGAGCATGCGTTCGGTTGTAGAACACAGAATTTTGTAATTTTAGTTGGCGAGAGTCGTACATAACAGAAAAAATAACAAGACTGAGAAAAATACAGGTTACATGTGAGACCAGTTTGCTCCTAAAGTTGCTCTGAATGTATATCATCTAAAAGTTTTATCTAAGTGATACCAATCAAATAAGCCAAACTTGCCTTGCGGAACATTCATCACGCCGACAGTGAGACCAGCAGATAAATCCGACAACAGATCTGTGCGCCATCGATAGTTAGTCAAAAAGCCGATGCAAGGAAAAGCGGATCGGATAAAATAGGAGGTCCTGGATAGAACCACTTTCGGCTGAAAAGAGTGAGCACAACGCTGACGCAAACGACGCGCTAGTGGTAGCTTGCCACTAACAGAACCTTCACTAAGGCGCACTTCAGAACTAGTTAAAACACGTCGGTCAAGTGCAATTCGACCATGACGAGCAGAGGAGAGAACAGTATCCGGTCCCGGTGCGGTATAATCCACTGACTGTACACGCTGCAAGCCCGGAAATACGCTATCTGGTTCGGGAAAGGCGAACGGACCCGTCGCGCCGTTCGACATCGTCCTAGTGGAGCATACATAAGCGCGTTCCACTCGCATTCATTGCTTTACATAGGCCGCAATTGACGAAAGGCGATAACAGACACGTGGTCACTGAGTGATGCACGACACACGAGACAGACGGAAACACTGAAACCACCCAATGGTAATACGTAGAACACGGGTCGCGTGCTATGTATTTGTATTGGAAAACAAAAATGGAACCAGACGATCGTGTGTTTGTTTGTGCAACAGTGATCTGTGTGTGGGTGCAGGGGAAACCGGGAAGCAAATACAAGAACCGGTGACTCGAGCGAAAATAGATTGAAATAGGAAGAGATACAAAGGAACATGGTTGGTGAAACCAGTCAGGGCTCTGAGTCAACACGTAATAATAATAATGCAGCGATTGGCGGTTGGGGTTCATTTACAAAGACTGCAACAGATGAACAAAGATCGAGATGACTCGGACACCAAGGTTATCTGATCACTGGTTAGCACAGAACGTCGGTGGCGAATCACGTAGAATACTTCTCTTCCTATGGAAATACCAGATATTATAGTCACACAAGCCACGCGATTGCTGACGTGTTGCTGCCGATTGTGAAGGAGAATTGGGGCGGGGGCACATTGGCTGTTTAGGGATTTGTCTTCAAAGCATCCGCCAGCAGTGAGGAAAGTTCACGCTCAGTTAGACGATGGGATCGCATTAATGTAGACGCCTCAGACTGTGCTTGGTTTCGTTTCAAATTGTAACGTGAAGAACCAAGAATTTGTTGAGTAACATCGGGTTCAGGGAGCTCTTCATGGTTCGAAGACATATCAGATATGCCCACTGTGGATACGGTTGGATCCATTTCTTCAAAAGTGGGACCACTAGCGGCACCCGTTACGTTCTCTTCCAACTGTAATTTTTCGGAAGCCACGTTCAAAATTCTTTCTTCAATTGTCCCTTCGGATATCAGCCGTATTACGTGGACGGGCCTGAAAATCACAAAATATACCAATAAGTGAAAACCGGAAGAAAAGGCAGGTAATGTGGTCATGTTCCAATCAGAACTTTCAGCACAACATAAAAATAGATTCTACATTATTGATTCAAAACATCAGATAACGAGTGAATAAACGTACACAACCCAAATAAACATATCATTACAACTGTCTCTTAGTATTCATCTAACAAAGCCGAAAAAATGAGCTGATATTCAAAACAAATCCCAACGAAGATGACTGTTTTCAGTCAGAGAACCTGTGCTATATGAGCGGAACGAAGAATCGATGTACTTTTTTATAAAATAGACAATTTATAAAACAACGTGACTTAATTCTCGCAACGCAGTACCTTCCCTATCTCATTTATAGCTCGATGGTTAGCGTGTGATTTTTTAACTGAAATGTGAGCTCCAGTGCTTGCAAAAGTTATACACAGTACAAAAGTACCTTCAGAATACTCACTTCGTTTGTCCCAAACGATGGACACGGTCCTCGGCCTGTTTATCGTTGTAAGGATTGAAGTCAATATCGTGTATGATTACCACATCCGCACCAGTCAAATCGTGTATGATTACCACATCCGCACCAGTCAAATTGATTCCTAATCCTCCAGCTCGTGTTGAGAGTAGGAAGATTTCAATTGAAGAACTGAATATGACAAGGCCAAAAGAACAAAATCAGTTCAAATAGTTTACAATACATAAAGGTCAAAGTTGATAGTATAATTTGCACTCCTATCATATACGCAGAGATGAAAACCAAGAATTCTTGCAATCAGCAGTACACTTACCTGTTAAACCGATCGATAAGTCGCTGTCGTTCGTCCACCGGAGTACCACCATCAAGACGAACATAGCGCCAATCTTTGAATCTTAAGAATTCTTCCAAAATATCGAGTACAAGAACAAATTGACTGAAAATCAGTAATCGGTGATTTTGGGCCACGAGTTTAGGCACATTTTCTTCTAACCAAGCGATTTTTCCTGATCCACCAGAAATAACTGCTATGGGAAGCGCATACGGAGACAGTATCTGACAAGGTGGTGAAAAGACGTTCGAAATAGACATCAAGTAAATTAATTTTTTAATACATAATTTGAGGAAAGCATCATCTATCAGTTTTCCTAACAGTGATGAAATTACCAGTCTGTGACAATTCGATATAACACTGATGTTATTATGTCTATCGATCATCTGGTGTATTTCAAAACAGTTGCATAAGCCATGTATAAAAGTCGAATAAATACCAATATCTGTGGGAATTAAGTGTTTCAAAGGCCCATTTACATAAGCGTGGCAGAACAATTGGATTATATGTCAACTAATGATAGATGATAATGATGAGTAAACGAAATGGCTAGCGTAAAATGTAAAACAGAGGTAAAAATCTTGAACAGTTAATAACCATAAAGGTCGAACGAAGTCAAATGATATGAATCCACGAAACCAGTGATAAAACTGTGTTAGGGAAACAGAAGTTCACAGAGACCAATCCCTTAGTTATAACATTACATCTTATTTTGTTGTTATTGCCCTTTGGTAACTTTTGGCACTATATTATACATGCTTTTTTACATGGTGGTTATGTGGCTGCTGAATTCCCCGTCGTGGTGCGCAAAGCGATTACCTGAACTAACTTGATATTCAAGGCACGTTTTTTATTAGTCAAATTAGATAAAATACTGAAAGTGGTGTGAGACAAGACAATTACAACAGTATACGTCTAACTCTTCTCTAACAACAACAAAATAGCGTAGTCTGTTTTTTTATTACACACCAGAGTGTGATGAACAGCAGACGGGGCCGACCCAATAGTCAGTGATGGAAACCGGTAACCTAAGCCCCGTGGGGATTGGAGTGGCAAACCACATAGGGCCCCGCTAGGTCAGGCGTGGTACTGAACCGGACGACAGTAAAGCTGCCTACCACTAAAGTCGAGTGGCAGTGCGGGTGGCGGGCCTCGAAACTCGGATCGCAGGGTCCAAAGCACGTCAGTAACCACTAATCCACTGTTAGTCTTCATAAACAAAACAAAATAAGCCAGGCATCCACAACATATGCCCGCGTGCCAGATAGGCATTGCATCTTATCCGATCACACGCAGCTCAATACGCTGAATCCCTTCAGCGGTACTAAAAGGTTACAATTGATAATCCTCGGTATGGCCAGATGGTAAAAATGTACATGTCTGAAGGAAATAATGCAAAGCAATTCATGAAGTCATATTGGAATCCGCGATTCACACTTTCAATAATGGCTCTAATTCCATTCAAATTATCCCGTTGATAAGCAATGTTAAGAAATATTATAAGCAGCAAACGGCGCATCGTGGACTCACTTCATAATGCTGACAGATCCTGTGTACTTGATGATCATTTAGCACTTTCAAGTCCTCGTAAATTAGCTTGACATCGGAATTGGAATGACTAGAATCCAAATGCAATGCTTCCGCGATGTCTTGAAGCTGATCTTCGCTGTATGCTATCCGGTTCAGAAGAGTTTGATGGTTGGCGGCCTTACGTAACTGCCAAAGCATATTCGATAGTGATTCCGGGGAGTTATTTGAAGAGATCGTCTCGTCTCCATTAACTGGGGATAATGACACAGTGGATAAGTCAATAGTTTCCATTTTAATGGAGTTTTAGAATGGTGTCGAGTATGCTTCAGGAAGGGGAAAGCTACCAATTAAATGGCTATAACATGATACAAATAAATGACTGTTTAGGGATAGTTCAATGGCCGGAAGCTCCGGGATGTTCAAAGCCTTTTGCCTCGATAAGCGTAAACAGTAATCAAAGACAAATCTTTTTAAATGTCTATCTGTGTGCAAAGCAGAATCCTGAGCATTAGTCATCCTACCCGAAGCATTCTGCTTTAAACTGTCTAAGAAAACATGGTTATCGATGACGCCACTGATGGGGAATCACTTCACAGTTGAATTAAATTTTATGTCAAACCAGTAAATTTACTATCACGATGTCTTCTATTACTTACTACGGACGGAAACTTCGATGGAAAGATTGTTCCAAAGTGATCCTGGTGTGATAGGCTCACGGATGGTCATGGACGAGACACGCATTTGCGAAATGAAGTGATTATCAGGAAGAAAGTTCGGAGCCACACACTTCTTTTGCAAAATATTGTAGCCTTTCGTGATTTTTGGTTTCAGTTATAGGTTGCGTTACCTTAAATCCATAGAAAGCCTTGTTCTTATGCGAAGAGCATTAACAAATTTTCCTTTTTGTATCCATAATCGGTTTACTACCAAATTTTTGACGTCACACTATTTTGGTGGTGATCATATTTGATTGTTGTCGACCGTCTAGTATCTAATGCCGCTTTCAGAATGGGCTATTTTTGAGACTAGAACTTTAAGCCTAGCAACTCGGCAGCAGTTGTTCTGCTAGAACCATAGGACTGATTGTCTTAAGATTGAATACACCCCACGGTCATGCCGTTTTACGCATTACCCTAACTTCACAGATAGAAAGATCGATCAGAGACAGTGTGCAACACATTTTAGAAAATCAGGTAGTTTCAAAAATCCTTTTACGCATCCACTCAGGACCTTGTAATGAAGGGGAAATAAAAAGTTTCGGTGAAAAGAGTGTGGTTATGATGGCTGCAGAATGACGCTTTATCAATACAAGTTGATGGGGTAGATTACTTAATTTTCTTACTTCAGGCCGCTTCATGGATTTCGGTCGAATGACATGATTTCTTTCATTTCTCGATAACCATCGCGGTAAGAAAATATCAAGTTTGAAATGAAAAACTTGGACTCTTATCTGAGCAGTATGAAAATATCAGTGTACTTGTTTCATTCGGATAACATCGAAAATGATGCACGAACTTGAATAATGCCTGATTTTTTAACATTCCTGTATATTTAAAAACTCACTATTCCGCCACTAACGCCATTAACTCTTTTTCTGTCGTACACGAAGTGATTTACAGCAAATAGGGTAAACAGGGAAAACCCGCTATCATTACGCGCAAACCAGAAACAAATGTTCACTAATCCTATATTGAGTCCAAGATCACTCTTTTGTCGTGAAACCGAGCGTCTGGTTTTGTCCACCATCGGTAATCAATTTGATACCTTGCCAAAGTGGGTTTTCATGATTATTTCTAATCCAGGATGTTCCAATTTTCAACTTATCTGGTTTACAACTCCGAGAGAAGGCAAAGGTGTTCGCCTCACGATTTAACGCCAAATCTACTCTGCATGGCATATATAGAGAGGTTTAAACGTTGGCAAACCACTCAATAAGGTCGGCACTTCACTCGTTTCGAAATTTGCGTGCCCCGAAGTTAGCCTTTATATTAGACTGACTTTTCAGTTCACAATTCAAATACAGGACTGTTCCCGCTTCCTGGGAAAATGCCTGTTTTTTTCTTCCTCTAAGACCAGCGATCTTCTGATCCGTTTTGTCCTTCCATTCCTCTCACCATGGTGTTTATCCCTTTGGTTGCAAACCACTTCCTGTGTAGTAAAAGACTAATGAAGTGAACACCAAGTAGAAAAAGCTAAAAACAATGAAAAAAGACCTGGAGTACGCTATGCTCACCGGACGAATCGAGTCGCGGTTTTTTAGGCGTATTCTCACTGTCAGGTTGAGTGTTTTCATCTGAACCAACACTTTGACTCTGCTGTTCAAGACCATTCTCAGGTCTTAATTTTCGTGAGTTTTGACGGAG